ACTCTTGTGGGACACTCTTGTGGGACACTCTTGTGGGACACTCTTGTAGGACACTCTTGTGGGACACTCTTGTGGGAAACTCTTGTGGGATACTCTCGTAGGACACTCTTGCGGGACACTCTTGTGAGACACTCTTGTGGGACACTCTTGTAGGGCACTCTTGTGGGACACTCTTGTAGGACACTCTTGTGATCTCTTGCGGGACACTCTTATAGGACACTCTTGTGGGACACTCTTAAGGGACGCTCTTGTGAGACGGGCACTCTTGTGGGACACTCTTGTGGGACACTCATACGGGACACTCTTGTGGGACACTCTATCTGGGACAGTCTTGTAGGACACATGCTTCGAGGCTGCAAGACGAGCGTTTCGTACGAGACCTCCTCCAAAAGTCACACGTCAAGCCAAAACGAGCGTTTCGTACGAGACTTCCTCAAAATATCACACGTCAAGTCTCCAAAACGAGCGTTTCGTACGAGACTTCCTCCAAAAGTCACACGTCAAGTCTCCAAAACGAGCGTTTCGTACAAGACTTCCTCAAAAAGTCACATGTCAAAGTCTGCAAAACGAGCGTTTCGTACGAGACTTCCTCCAAAAGTCAAGCGGAAACACCCATCGGAGCACACACATCACGCAGCCCTGCCAAGCAGTTTCGCAATTCCAGCCCCTCCAAACAACGCCCGCTCACACGCCAATCCCAATGTGACAGCCACATTCACCTCTACCACAACTCACAACCTCACGATTCCCTGCGCCTGCCGCGAATGTTTCCGCGTCCACACGTCTGACACGCACAAAGTACTGCGCCTGCCACGAAATGTCACCTCCGTCACACCTCGCAACCTCACGACTCCCTGCGCCTGCCACGAAAATCGCACGTCCACACCTCAAAGCCCGCACAAAGTACTGCGCCTGCCACGAAAAGTGACAATGTCATCTCATGTGAGCTTCAACAAAATTTGCACCACACCACGCGTTTGGAATGATTTCGATCCGTTCTGAGCACACTCCCATCCACCAAAATCGTCATTTCAGCTGAGACTTGTCACGAAAACAGAGCTTCGATGCCACACCCTGAAACACAAGCCCCAATGGCACGGCCACATCCAACACCCCCAAAACACGACTCTCCAAACGCTAATCCGAATGGAACTGCGCAGCAAACTGCAGATCTCACAAAACGCTGGTGAAATCATCCTCCACACTTCAACATCATACATTTCCGTTCCTCGCTATTTCACACGAATCTGACACGTCACGTTTTCATCCGAAACCCTCTCCAAAAGCTTCCCCCAATGGCAGCGCCTTAGCGCTCTACTGCGGACGGTTGCGAACGGTTGCGGACGGTTGCGAACATAAAAACAACGGGTCGCGAACAAGGCTCTACCCCCAGACCCCCAGAGTTAAACGAGAACCCTTCGCTACGCATTCGGGAAAAATAAACATATGCGGAAAACTACACGATGTTTTTGTTCTTTTGTTGCATTATTTTTCGATACGTATATATATATATATATTAACTTTAGGAGTCTCGCCGGATAAAGGTACGGATCCCAAAGACATGTTCTGCCTTTGGGGGGATGTGGGTTCAAACCCTGATGTTCCTCCATGTACCCCTGTTTGCAGGACATGTATGTCCCCATCGACCAACTCGTGACTCGGTTGAAGTACCTCTTTTCCGAGGTACTTTATTGAGACTCCAAACTGTGCATAATTTGGTTGATGTGTTGATGTCAGACAATGTCAGACAATGTCAGACATTTCACATGTTGAGACATTGTTTGGCTAATGTTCAAGGCGATCCGGTCAATCTTCATTCGCGCGTGCTTTTTGCTCAACTTGAGTCTTTGGTATATTATATAAATATATATAATATGCTTTTCACATAGAACTATACTGATATATAGTCCCAAATAGGTTGACATTGACTGATATACTGATCGGCTGGCTGGACATTGAAAGGCGTTTAATACGCAGTGAGTCTTCACCCATTTGAAGAGCTCGTCTTCCGAATCGGTGTGGATCCGTGTCCGGCCCGTTTGATTGACTGGTGGAGAAAGCGAAGTCAAAGGCTCAGGAAAGGGTCTGAGTTTCCAGGTTTTTTTTAGCTTTTACATGATCCAACCAATTTTGTCCCTCTCTTCTTCCTCTCTGGACTGTGTCACTTGCGCAGGATTTGGTCAATCATCCAAACTTGAAATTGTGGAATATGGCATACCCAGACACTCCATGGGACTGCCATATAGGTGGTTTGGGGGGTCAATGTAGGCATATATTCCATACATGGAGTGTATGGGATATATATGATGGAACGGGGATCACCGCAAAAAGACCTTGGGAGGATGATTGACACCAGGCCAACATGATTGGGAAGCTTCGGCCTCCACGTTCCGTTTGATGGGTTCCCATCAGTGTGAGCAACACATGGTTCTTACAAGTGAATATTATATTTGACCAGAAGGTATGGCGCCAGACTTTAACCACCACAGAAGTCTGACAAAAACCGACAGTGCCTTCGCATATTGGTTTGAAAACTTCATCATCGTCTCAATGGTCTTCCTGGGCGCGTCTGGTCGAAGCTTCAGCCGCCGCAACGGCGCTTCGCTGAAGAGCAGCAGAGTGTGTGTCGCCGGCGGCTCCAAAGAAAACAACAGCGGAAAACCAGCGGAAAAAGAAAGACACCGGGAAAAGGAACAATGATGTGCATACCACTCGTGAAACTGTTTTTCTTTCGATGGAATTCCTGGGATCGATGGCTGTGCTGCGAAGAAGACTGGACTCCTGGCCCCGATGCCCCGATGGAACCCGCGGGGGTGCTTCGGAAAAGGCTCCAGGCACTGCTGAATTGAAGGGCAGGGTCTGAGAAGTTGCCAGGGACATGAGCCAAAGAAGGTGTCTCCACTGTCGGACACAAACCAGGGAACAGGAGCCGAGAGGAGCCAGTAGTAGACGTGTCACACTTGGAGGCTCAAAAAAACCCGTGAGGACACGTGTTTTGATTACTATGGACTATGGCCAAGGTATTTAACCCGATGTAACCCATACACTCCATGGCACTGGAATATATGCCGCCCCATTGACCCCCCCCTGGCACCACCCCAACTGATCGGTAAATATACCAGTCCCATGGGTCGTGTCTGGGTCATATACCCGGACCCTCCGTAAAAAAGAGCTACCCGCTACCCTCTTCAGTCACGAAAGGTGGACCAGCCTGGCATCCTGGGTTTCCCTCTCCTCTGCAAACAGCAACCGTCCGTGGAAAAAACCGGGGGGCAGGGGCCAGGGGGGGTTTGTGAGACAGAGGTGTTTGGGGTTGGGTTGGTGGGTTTAAGAGCCCTAGGGATAGTATTTATCATCATGGCCGCAGTGGGAGTCACAGTTCCGCACAGCGACGACTCTTCCGCTCCACCGCCCCACAGCGGCACCGCTGTGGCCCCACACGGATCAGGTTCCAAATGTTTGTCATCCTCCTGAGGCATTTGTTGTAAAGAACATGCTCTTAGGTTGGAGGCCATCGCCAGTCGTTTGTTGCATGTCAAAATTTCAGATGAACTCGAGTGCCATGCTTGAGACAATGTGTCCATTCACACCAGGCGGCTGGGGAATGACAATTGTCTTGAGTGCCATTCCATGAGCAAAGGCTCGTTTCTGTCCGCTGCAACAAGAACTGCCAACGAATAATCTTCCTCACTGATGCTCTTGTCACCTCAACCCAAACGTAGAACAAGTTGTGCTGCACTTGAAATCCCGCCAAGAACAGCTTCAAAAAGAAAGTGCAACAAACTTCTATCTGTCTGATTCGATCTCAACATCCCAAGAAAAGAACAACCACCCCAACTCTCCAAACACCTTGCTACACCTCGCTATATCTATATAGATATAGAGCCCAAATCTTTCAATTCTTGCCTTTTCGTATACTAAATAGTTACTCCTCTGATGTATACCTCTCCTACCTCTCTCCACTTGGACTCCCTTCGTCACACACCACCGCCATCGTCCTGGGAGCACGCTGCGACACCACGACACCTGGACGCCCGGTGACCGGTGGCGGTGATGCCCGGTAGCAACACAAAGGGAAGAAGCGCAGGGCTACATGGATGGTTTTCCGGATGTGTTTGATGTATTTTTATGTGATTTGGTTTTGTATACATGGTTTTGTGATGTATGTCGTTTTCCGGATGTGTTTTAAATTTTATGTTTTGGGGTCTCATCCTCTTTTTGGTTGCGAGATAGAGATGGTCCCTGCTGGCCTGCGCCTGTCGCCGAAGCTCCTCGATGCCAATCCAGCGAGGGTCATCGTGAGCGTCGCGACCCCCAAGACGGGCGAAGGTCCTCGACCAACCGGCGGTGGAACTGACCGAAACAACCTATATATCCCATACACTCCATGTATGGAAAATATGACTACATTGACAACCCCAAACCACCCCGATGTAGGCATATATGGCAGTCCCATGGAGTGTCTGGGTATTGTAGTCAAATGGCCAAAATGGGCAGTACACAGTGCTGCGGTGCTGCAGGAAATATCATTTTGCAGGCACTGCGTAAATAACCATGGAGGACACCAACAGAAAAGCTTAGGATCGTAACAAGCTATACTGAGCTGCAGCAGAACATACCGCAGCAGAACGGTTGGTATCAGCATGACTAGCTACCAGTAGTCATCTCTGGCGGCCATGCTCCTGTTCTCGACGGTAGCACGGAAGCACACGCAGCTTGAGCTTGGCATCTGGGCAGGGAGAGTGGGGAAATCAACCGGATCAAATTAAAAACAAATCCAAAAACACGTGACAGGAACTCAAGAAGTCCCAAATTCATCCAAATTGCAGTTCCATGTCGGGCTGCTGAACTTGAAGTCGGGGTGTCCATGATCAACTCACTGGACGGGACTTAAAAAAAAAACAAAACTCACCTCCGGAACTGGGCCAGTTTGAGTTGCTTGTCTCTTCTGGTCACAATTGGATCGACCGGTGTTGGCCCCCCTCCATTTCCCACCCCGTTCCGATCCTCACGTGTCCATCCTGTCGGCCCCGGCCTCTGGAGCCCCGGGCCTCGCACCAACGGGGCGCCCAGGCCTGGCGAACGGCGCGGCCGTGCGAGGCGCTCGGAGCGTCCAGGTCGGAGGCTGCTGCCGGAGGTAGCTGACTTGTAGGAACTTGCAGGTAGCTACAAGCTATTATAGTATGCTGCTCAAGGAAAAATCATGGAGTCCCAAAAAACACCACCATCAATGGATGATCACTACCTGAAAAGACCGACCTTCACAACCGTCGATGCATCGACCCACCTGGCGCTACGCCGGCTCGCTGCATCGACACCGCCGGGCTCGTGCACCTCGGTCGCTGTCGCTTGCGGTCGGGCGGCCAAAGCGGTCAGCAGAGTTTGACGACCTGCCCGGGGCCCTGAAGCACCGAGGTCTACCACCCTATCCACCTACAAGTAAACTTAATTCTAACTTAACTTATTATTTTATTGTTTCAAATAGCAAACATTGTTCCTAGTAGCGATACCAGGAGCCCCTAGTAGCATCCTTGCTCATAGTAACCTTCTGTGTATTAGTCTCATTCGAGAAAGGCTCCACCACCGGCGGATCGTGTGGGGTCCTTTGGGCGCGCTGCACTTTCAAAAGCGCAAGCGGCTGAGCTTCGGACGGCTCAGCTGTTTGCGGCAAATCATCCGGGATGTGTTTGAGCCGAGGGTTTGCAAGCCAAAGGTGGGGTGGGCACTAGTAGGGATGGATCAACATGGAGATGATTTCAGGAATCTTGAAGAGCACTACAGGCACTACAGTCACTACAGACAGCTGCCAAGGCATGCGTTTGATAAGATTCTGAACCCGAGATGTTTCCAAGCGAAACCTACATTAAATTGTTGCATCACGGGAATCACGGAACGCTTTTCCTCTGTGGAACCTTACATGAAATATCGTCTTCCTCTTTTGCCCCGCAAAGCTCTTCCATCCACGGAAGTGTCTGGTCGATCGATCTTTTTCTTCTTGGTGAATGTCTCTGAAGGTCTCGGACCTCCATTTCTCCGAACAAAATAAGGCTCCCACGTCCTATGAACATCCCACCGTCCCGCCATCCCAAGCTCGCATCCGCATCCGCATCCGGCCCGTCGTCCGTCCTCTCTTCCGTTCGACCCTCCGTGACCGCTGCGGTCCGCCTCCAAATTGCAGAAGTTCGAGTGTCCGTGACCCATCCTGACTGAACACACGAGGCGTGGTGCCGAGGCACGGCCGACGGGCGACGGGCGACCGAAGGGTGCGACCCGAAGGCGACCGACGGTGTGTGTGTTCTTGTGTGTTCTTGTGTGGCCGCAGAAGATGTATAGCAGTGACTACAGCAAATCTACAGCAGGTGGTTTTCACCACCTGTTCCAACTGGTCACATGAGGCCAAAATCACCAGCTTCAGCTCACTGCTGCTTGAGCTCGCAACCGGTTGCGCCGCTCGCGCAGCGCTCGGTGCGGTCCAGCGATCAAAGTGATCCTCATCCCAAGTGGAGTGATTGCCCACGCGCAGTCTGTACCTGTCAAGGTCCCACTGCGAATGGTTCTCATCTTGAATACGTACTCAAATTTATCCCAGATCCTATTCAGATTATCCATTCAGTGGATGTTGAGGTCACTTCATGCCTCCTCTTCAAACCTCATATATCCATTGTCGTAGCGGCACGGCCTCTGAAGCACCAACTCCTTCCCCAACAAGGCAAGACACC